AAATCATGTAGCCGGCATAATTTTCTAGTTCATCATATTCCACATCTTTGAAAGTACTGATAAAATCTTCCGCTTCAAAAAAAATATTTCTTCTAGTGATCAGGTAGCATGAATTTGATGAAATGTCATAATTTTATTAAAAGTCAGATGGTTAACAACAACAACGAATGTCATTAAATGAAACTACCTTCTTTTTTGTATCATGCTTATAAATATTTCATGATTAAAATTTTAAATGATTTCACAGTTTGACAGCTCTGTTCTCTACTACTCATTAGCAGTAGAGAACAGGGCGGAGAATTCATACCTCAATTCGCCTTGGTAGAGAATTGTTACAGAAACGAGCTGCAGGTGTTTTATTTATCGTTGTGAACCAAAAAAAAAACCTATTCCATAAAAAACTCGAGCATCGAAAAAATATTGGCACACTTCAGAGATTTCGTCTCATTGTAAACCAAACGTCTTTACTTTACAGATATTTAAAAATTTCAACACATTGCAAAAGTCGCTAGAGAACTTAGTGGCGACATTTATAACTGACTTAGAACAATCACTGAAAGAGTGTTTCGCTGGAACCGACATATCTCTATTGAGTAAAGTCGATGCTCATAACAGCGCATCATCGAAAACAAGGACTGCCATACGTGGTCCTGGAAAAACTCCAATGCTTACAACGACGCAGAACTTTAGAGCAAAGTTTTGGAAATCTCTGCATTGGTTATTGTATGAAGAACTTTCAGAAAGTTGCGAACAAGTAAATCTATTGAAGCGTAGTTTGGATCAAATAAGACAGTTAGGCTTTGATGCCTCCGAATCATACGATGTACATAAACATTTTTGGCAAGCAGTTCAAAAACTTCTACGAAAATCGTTTGCTGAGAGTCCAGGCCATGTAACACAAACGTTGCAAGAAGGCCTGGCAAAGTTACTTACGTCAGCGCGTGGGTTGGAAGAACGCTTGGGTGGTGAATTTTTATTCGAAAAAGATATATTCTTTGCATTTGAGGTGGGATACATAAGCAAGTGCGCCGCCAATATGAAAGCTTCTTTAGCAGGTGTCGATCTTCCCTCAAATGAAACAGTGGATAATTTTATTAGAGTGGCATCAACAGAAATAAGTGCTGCACTAATTGATGCACGCTTAACAAACTCAGTAGCAGCGGTATTTATTTCTTGTGGCCGAGAGCTGTGTACGAGGCTAGAAGCACAAATAAAACTGGGAGCTGATTCTAAACAAGTAGTCGACATTCCAAATTTTCAACAGACGCAGAATGTGCTCTTGGCTAATATTCTATACTACTATAAAGACTCAGTGCGACGCATGTTGTCAGACTTGAAAGTACACTTTTCCAAATCAAAGACTTCTGCAGAGCGAGACATTGTCAAATCGTTGGAACAGTCGAATATTTTAATTAGTACTATACTACAACAGATTATGGATTCCATTTTGTCAACCATAAGTATTATATTGCTTAGCATGCATCGTGAACCTGGACTTAATTCAGAAAAGATTTCCACTTCCGGACCGTCAATGTACATGAAAGAGTTGCAGGTAAGTGTTGCTATAAAATAGGTAAGGAACATAAACTTACTACTATTTTCAAGACAGCAAAAAATTGTTACGAATTGTTACCAGTACTTGTAAAATTATCAGAAAAAGTTATTTAATGCAAACCTGCAAAACCTTGTAACTTACGCCATTTTGACACATTCTGACGATTCAGTTTTGGCGCGCGATTTTTTTCTTTTTGATTGGGAATATTTCCCATCGTCATAAAAGTATAAAATATAAATTAGATTTAAATTGTTCATCTATATTTTCGTTTCACTAATTTGTGATTCATCAAATCATCTGTTTCAAATTTTTAGGGTTATTGAATGCATTTCCAGTAAAAACTTGCAAGTACTGATAACAATTAGTAAAAAATTGTTGATATTGAATAGACCTTTTATTATGTTTTTATCATAATTTGCAAGTTTCACTTCCTTTTCAGAAATTCATAAGTCGCGTCTGGGTAAACCATATCGGTCATTTCGAAGACAAAGAAATAGTATCAAGGTGTGGACACGAATTGGCCAAACGGTGTATAGAACTCTTCGTGCACAATGTAAGTATTTTACGTCCTATTAGTCATGCGGGACGACTACGTTTGAAAAGCGATTGTGCCCACATGGAACAAGCGCTTAGGCCGATTTGCGCCAACTTACCTGATTTAGGAAACCCTGCTCGATTATTGCGTGCTTTGTCGTTCTTAATAGTGCAGCCACCTGAAGAATTGGTAAAACAGAGCATCGGCAGTGAGTCACTGGTGCCTAGCTACATTGTATTATTTCTATTATTTGGACATGCTGGCGCTGAGCTTCAGAGCCCTCATACTACCGCAAATTGGTCGACGGAACGCTTAATCGAGTGGTTGGAGGGTCACACATCATTTCGTGAAAAGTTAGAACTAATATCTGGAGCCTTGCAACGTTATCCAGATCAAGTTAGAAGAAAAAATAGTGAACAATACGATGACTTATATCCGCTCATAGTGGATTTTTTTGAAAAATCTATATAGGCATGACCGTTGACTTGCAATAATAAAGTAGTTTTTTTTATTTCATGGAGATTTTATGATATAATGTATGTTTATGTTTATTATCTTAAAATATAACTGTATCCCTGGAGCAAGGGAAGAAAAACTATATTCAGTAAGCGAAGATAGAGAGAAAATACAAAGATGACAGCTTAGCTTTTGTCAAATAAAAAAGACGGCAATCGGAAGATTAGCTGGCGCGAAAAAAACACACATCTCGCCTTCTCACACAGCAGACAATTTGGAATTTAAATTCGGATATTTGCTTGGCATATCTGCATCTAATCTGCTGCAGTAGCCAGAGCAAAGTTGGGCTATTATTGTCCGTGTCTCCCGAGGCAGACGAAGCTCCGTCTCGTCTATTTCTGGTTGTTGTGTGCCCAGAACGGCATTCACAGGTCTGTAGTCTACGTAACTTGAGACTGACTCCCTGTGAATGCCGCTCAAGGGCCTGTCGGGTCCAGAGGTTGCTTTATGTACCTCTGAACTTCGTCCGTCAGTTCGTAGAGATGCCTCCTGACGTGCCTGGGCGAGGGCTCCTCTGCAAGCGGGTGTCTGTTCGAGTATCCACGTCTGTGGCTCCCTACTAGGAATTGCTTGCAGAGCACTGTGTTGTGCTCCTTTATGGGGAACATTTTCACCTCGTCGTGTAGGTGGTGTTCTGGCGACATCAGAAGGCTTCAGATCACTGTCCGTAGTGCGGTGTTTTGTGCAGACTGTAGCTTCATCCACTGCGTCCTACTGGTCCCCGGCGACCACACTGGTGATGCGTAATTAAGAACCGGCCGGCCAATTGCCTTGTATGTTGCCAGCAACGTTTCTTCATCTTTGCCCCAGGTACTGCCGGCAAGCGACTTGAGGACCTTGTTGCGGCTGTATACTTTGTTGACAATTGCAGTTATGTGCGCAGAGAAGGAGAGCAGACTGTCGAATGTTACTCCGAGTATTTTAGGGTTATTCACCGTCGGGATCGGTGTGTCATCGACGTGAATACCTAGCGGTAGTCTGACCTCCTTCGTTCATGTGGTAAGGTAAATAAGGTCGCAGAGGATTTTGTAGGGGAGAGGGTTAGACTCCTTGCAGTGGAGAAGCGAGAAAGCTCGGAGAGATACCCGTTTACTTTCGAGCACAAGTCATCAATTCCATTGCCAGACGCCATTATCGAACAATCGTCAGCGTAAGAGACAATCGAGACTCACTCTGGTGGTTGAGGGAGCTTGGATATATAAAAGTTAAACAGTAATGGGGAAAGGACACCACCCTGTTAGTTTTCTAGGTTTGCTCGATTTATCTCTAAACAGTACTGACGAGTGTCGACGACTCAGATAATTCGCTGACCACCGTTTCAGTCTTTGTGGTAGTGAGGAGGCCTCTACGTCTTCTAGCAGCGTGTAGTGGCTGACGGTATGAAACGCCTTTGACAGGTCGAACTCTACTAGAATAGTTCTCTCACAGGGGCGGCTGCGGTTAAGACCACGTGGTCTGAGAGTTTATGGCGTTAAGTGCTGTTGTTGTGCTGTGCTTTTTACGGAAACCATGCTGATGCTTCGCTGGGGTCAGGTGGTTCGCAAAATACGGGAGTAGCAATGCCTCTAGTGTCTTCGCTACCGGGGAAAGGAGTGTTATCGGACGATAAGACTCTCCTTTGTTGGCTGGTTTCCCCGATTAGAGCAGTGGGACCACTCCCCATCTTCCAGATGTCTGGAATGACGAGAGTGGCCATTGACAGGCTGAGAACCTTGGAAAAACAGTTACTCCCGCAGGACCCAAATTTTTCAGCATCAGCATGCATATTCCGTCGGGTCTCATGGCTTTGGAAGCTTTCACTTTCCCGATTTCTACCTGAACTTCACCGCTTGGCCTTGTCCACCGGAGGATGCAGTATAAATTGCCGGCTAAAATAGCTCGCGCATCGCTGCGGCTCCGACGAAGCGCGGTCGCCGAAAGTTATTTCAACTCTGTCGTCGCTCGTTTTGAGACGGCCACGGTTGACCAAAGCTTACTCACACCAGAGGTGAAGTCCCCAAGCTGCCGAATCTCCGTGTTGAGATCCCTGATACGGGGATTTCCGGGATCGGCATGACGAGGGTTGTCACGCTCATCGGCTAGGATAGCCGCTTCAGCAGGAAAGTTTGGACGGGGGGTCCGTTATGCAACCTGCTGGTACGAAGCGAGCTGCAGCAGCAGTGACAACCCTGCGGAACTTACGTTCACCTAGGTGAACGTCGGTTGGTTCAGTAAATTCCGCGAAGACTTTCCAATCAGCTTTGGTAAAGTTCATATAGGTCCGGTATTCCGCGGAAGCAAAGTCGGCAGGTTTATCGATCGAGATGACTATGGGCAGATGGTCTGATGCCAAGGTCAGCATAGGTCGCCATGATATGCTGTTTATCAGACCAGCGCTGACTAGTGTTATGTTGGCGAGCTGCAGCAGCTGCCCATAATCCTGGTGGGAGCGTCGTCTTTCATTATACAGAGTGTCGAATCGTCTATCTGCTCAGTCAAGTGTGTTAACCTACGATCGTTTGACAGGCTTGAATGCCACAGATCGCGGTGCGCCCAAAAGTCGCCAAGTACCATACGGTTTTCACCTCTGAGGAGCGCACCTATTTCAGGGTGATATCCTGCCGGGCAGCTGGTGACAGGGGGTATGTACACATTAAATATTTAGAGCTCAACAGCGCCTGACCGGATAGCAATGCCCTGACAGTCTAGGATGTTATCCCTGCGGTCGATGTCTGCTTCTATTAGACGATACTGCACGGTGTGGTGCATTATGAGCGCTGAGCCAGCGCCAGCGAACTCGACGGTGCACATCGTATCCGGCGCAATTCAAGAAGTTACACATCGTCTCTTGGACCGCAGCTATCAATATTCCATGCCTTCTCATGAAGACGTTTGTCTCCTTGATCTTGCTCTGAAGTCCGTTCAGTTAAATTGAACAAGCTTCGTGTGGTTCGGGAGACGTATTGTTATGCATGGGGTGAGGGATGTGTGTTGCCTAACCGTCATAGGCTGTGTGGGCTGCTGTGGGAGGTGCCGCCCTGTGGTGGTAGTCGGTGGTAGTCGACACTCGCAATAGGGGTGCAGAACGTCTTCTCAACACATAATAGCAAGGACGAGTGTTCCCAGATGACAGATTCAATATGCGAGTTTGACGGTAATCCTGATCCCCTAAATGTTTGGAAAAGGCAACTCATTTTCTTTAAAACATCGCATGCTTTCAGTGATGAAGCTAAAATTCTAATTGGAATGAAACTTACGAAAAGGGCATTCGAATGGCTACACTCAAAAGTCGAACACATCGATGCATTGAAAGCTGAAATCGAGCTTATGTATAGGCCCAAGGCAAGCATTGATCAGCGAAAAAGATTTTAAAGTAGATTGTGGAGAAGGGGCGAATCATTTAGAGACTATGCGCACGATTAAATTGTTATCGGTAATCTCATTCCCAGCACAAGCAAAGATATGCTGGAATACTTAATTGAGGTAATACCTGATCGCGTTTTGTGCAATCAGGCTCGAATGCAACAATTCTCCTCGACCGAGTCTATAATTTGATAAAATAGTGTTAAAGGAGCCATCAATTGCAACAGAACGTAGGGCTGACTAAAAGCAAATATGGTGATAACAAGTTCGGCGTCAAAAAGCTTTGCTACAATTGTGGCCAAGCAGATCATATAAGCGCTGTATTCCCAGTAAAGAATCAAGAACCAAAGTGGTTCAGCTGTAACGAACATGGTCACATCGCGTCCAGGTGCCCACAGAAGCGTAAAGTCTCCAAGCAGGCAAATACAGTGATTTACACAGCACGTAAACAGTATTCTTAACCCGTATCGATTGGTAAACGAACGACCGACGCATTGATACTGGAAGAGACCTTACTCTCGTGTGCTATGACGAATACACGAAAATTTGATCGCCGCCGCTATGACCATGCAAATTACGTTTCGCTGGACTGGGGTCCTCATCACATGTAGCAATCGGAGAATTTGATACAACAATATAGGAACCGTCTCTTTCCAATTCGAGTACGTGTAATTTCTGTAAAGATTTCGATTCATCGACTTCTCATTGGAACGGATTTCTTGGAGCAAAGAAACTTCAATGCAAAGAAGGGGTTAATTCTGAAGAAAAATTTGTTTGAAGAGCGGAACGAAGAGGAAATAGATTTATCCCATATCGAAAGCGACGAGATCAAAGCCGAAGTACAGAAGCTAGTCCACGGGTATTAGCCAAAGAAGACGATCGAGACGACTGAGCATGAGGCTCGTGCTTAAGGACAACGAAGCTGTATACCAAAAGGCGATACGACTGTCACCAAATTGAGGACTGGCAAAACAGTGACATCGGTAGACCATCTTCATCTGAATACGCTAGTCCGGTGGTGCTGGCGGAAAAGAAGGATGGTTTTTATCGACTGTGTGTCAACTATCAAAACCGAAAAATAATTAGGGATGGATTTCTTTTGCCTTTGATTGAGGACCATTTGTATCGACTCCAAGGCGCGAAGATGTTCAGCACGTTGGACCTGCAGAACGGATTATTCCAAGTGAACATTGATGAAGCTTGCATAAAATACACCTCACTCATCGTGCCGGACGGGCAGTTTGAATTCTAGCGTGTACCCTTTGGGCTCTGCAACTCAAATCCGTTTTTCAGAGGTACATAAACGCAGTTTTTCGCGAAGCTATCGTGCTGATTTACATGGATGACTTAATAGTCATCTCCGAAGGTTTCATCGATGGCTTGGCGAGATTGAAAAGGGTGTTTGACATGGCGTCTAAAGCAGTTCTAGACATTAACTTGAAAAAGTGCCATTTCTAGACAAAACGCGTGGACTTCTTGGGTCACATCATAGAAGCCGGACCATCTGAAACAAAGATCCAAGCTGTAAAGCGTTTTCCAGAGCCAACGACCATTCGACAAGTGCAAGATTTCCTCTGCTAAAGCGGTTATTTCAGGAATTTCATTCCTGACTGGTCAAGGATTACGCGTCCTTTGTCTAATTTGCTAAGAGTCGGCGTGATCTTCAAATTTGGAGATGCCG